AAGTTCAGTTGAAAACATTTACTAATGGGGTTGTCAAGGCATGGCCCTAGAGCTGGGCTGGAAATAGCTCAGCTGGGCCACTCAAGACCCTATCTATAGTGGTGGGAATGGACACATGTCTCTGGGCTTTGCCAGCCCCCTTGCCCAAAGGCTGGTTGGGGAACAGTAGCACATGCAGGAGAGGAGCTCTGTATCTGAGTTTTGGGGCTCCAACGGTCTTGTTTTCCTGAACTGTGTGTTCTCAAATCCCTTCCAGAATGTTTTCAGGGTCACCATAAGCTGCATGCTTTTACTGAAGTGTTACTCTAGCTTAGACCGGACAGTTGAAAAGTTAGGATTGTGAAATCTTTATCTCATTTAAAGTATATAGTATTTTGTATGGAGTCATAGGGTCCGGTATATCTTAAGAGATTTTAAAAGTTATTAAATCTAGGGTAAGGAGAAAATCATTAAAGCTACTAATTGAAATTGTTGAGTATCTTTTCAACTAATGCTATATTTTAATAGCATCACTGCTTGTGAGCAAGTACTTTGTTGTATACTGTGTACAGCTAACAGTTTTTCTTGACCTTTATGCATCTGTGTACCTCTTGTTATGTACCACCTGAAAGTTCTTTAAAAATCTCCAAAACCTGAAACTTAGTCACTGATAGTAGAAGACTGCTTTAGAAAAGCTTTGACTTCCCCTGTACACACATCCATTTTTAGTTTCTGTTCTAGTCTGAATTCTTGTTTAGAGAAATGTAGTTCTCTGGGATTTGACTTCACTGTTCACAGCAGCGCAAGATTTACTGAACTGAAGTTGGTTTGTATGTCACTGAGGAGATGATGATGAATATGTTAACACCATGAAGGGAAAAGTATTTTTAGTTTTTTCTTTTCTGTGTTAGTCTGTGGATAACCATTCTATATGCTTAGTCAGCCTATTTTAAAGGAGCAGGATGAACATTCCTCAGCTCTTTGTTTCAGGCTAAACCATTGTAGTTTATTCATGGAGTTATCCAGACTGCAAAAAATGGGTTGAAGAATTGGAAGCGTTTGCTAAGAATCAGCAACAGTTTAGAACTGTGGTAGGTTTCATTGGTTTAACTTCCTTATTTTGTAAATAGAGAACAGGAATAATGATAAAGTGAAAAACTGTGGTTGCTTAATTCCTTGAGGTCTCTTGAATAGCCTGTAACTAGATGAAAAGCATTCTTTAAAAATGTGCATTTTTGAAACAAGGTTGTGATTTTTTTAATTGGGATTTCCTAGTATAAGCAGGTTTTAATTTCCTTCCTCATGACAAACTTGGCAGTTGATGCTTTTATTGGCAAGCTATTTTTTCAAATATTTGAACTATTCTATCTATTTTATACTGACTCAGAGTAGTCTGTCAGCAGATAAAAGCTTTGACAGGTGAAGAGGGTTTTGTAGGTACCTGTCTGTCTATCCTGTTTTATTCCCTGGGTGTGATGGTGGTGGAAATCCTTTCTCAAATATGTGGGGTTGTGATATTTCTTACTCCTCAGTACAAGTAACTAAGGTAGGATACACATCTTGGCTTAGAATGTGTTGATCTCCATGCCTCTCACTTTTTTAGGTAAAGAGGATACTCATCTAAAACATCTGTTTCAAGCAGTTACTTTTTGATTTGTGCAATTGGCATTTATTTCTTAATATCTGATGTTCCCCGTTGTTTAGGTGGCAAGATGCGGCACTCATTAGAATTGTTTCTGTAGATGAGACTTATCTGCATGCAAGCACAAAAAGCTTGAGCACTGCCCTAGAAGATGTGGCAGGTATTCAGGTGCAGCAGCAAGTGGGGCCTTGTTACAGTGGGGATGCTTTTCATGTGCAGATTTGCCTAATGGCAAGTAAAAGGATTCTTCCTTACTGAGACTTTTTCTCACTGCTTATATGAAAGTACATGCAAGCACACACCAAAGTATGGCAGACGTTCTATTTTGAAAACAGGAATTAAACTTTTCAGTAAGACAAGATGTGGGAGGGGATACATGAAGAAAACTTAATTTTTTCATATTCTCCTCCCTCCCCCGTTTGGACTGTAAAGTAATCACTGCTATATTTTCATAGGTAGAAAACAGAAACTGTATTATCATAATTCTTAAAACCCCTCCCCTAAATATTGAGCTGCTGCTGCAAACCTGCATTCATGTGTGTTCTGCCAAGCAGACAAGTAGAAATAATGAAAACCAGCATAGCTTTTGCTGTCTGCTGATTGAAGCTAGTAAGTCTTTTGCAGGTTTGTCCTTGGCCTGCTGCTGTTGTCTTAATGCTACTAGTCTGGTCATTTTTCTGAATGTATGATTGTACTGTTCATGTGTTTAAATCTTTACAGGCATTTTAGCTTATTTTAGGTACAACTTCCTACCAAGTGACTTTTAACCAAGGTATAACCACTCTGGATCTGTATCAGCTTCTTTGACAATTTTGAATTTCATTCAAGGTTGTTTACCTTAAATTAACTGTCTGAGATTCAGCCAGATGCTCAGAACTTGAATTTTTGCCCCACTACACTGTTCCAGCCTGGTGCCTGCCTTCTGTCTCTCTTCTCCTCTCCTCCTCCAGGTGTCAGGACCCTGCTATTCTAGTAGAGGTAACAATGTGATGAAATAAATGGTGGTTCTGCAGCAGTACTGTCTCTGTTTTCTAATGCCATCATATCACTTATGATAAATTGGAAGTTGTGTGGTTGTACTTCTCAGAGCAATCCTTCTCTCTGCCTCTCCTCGCTTCACACCCAGAAAAAGACCCCAAAGCAAAGGCAGTAACATCACGTACTGAAGAAATATTTCACAGGGGAAGTGAAGGCAGTATCAGCTGTCAAATCTTATGACAGTTGTGTGATCCTTGATTGTCCTATGACTTGAGTTCCCTTTTATATTTCCCTTCCTACAATCTGTTGCTTATCTGTAAATGGCAACCCCTGGAATATGGGAATAAACTGATAAAAAGTCTTTCTAACAATGCAAATATTTCTAGCACTGTGCCAGTTCTCAGAACTTAATAACTGTGTTTGAACTGCAGATGCTCATTTCTGTCTGCAGTGCCACAGCTCTGAGGGCCTGGAGCAGGTCTGACTTCACCAGAAATGTCACTTTTCACCATGAATGGTTGTATCCAAAACCTGCTAGAGTGACCAGTGCTTCTGTCTAGTGAGCTCTGTTCTTCTTTCTTGCATTTAAAAAAAAATAATCACCTGGAGTCTGATGGTAAAGCTCTTTGTTCTTACATTTATGCCTGACTATTTTTTTCTTCTGCTATTAGGCACATTACAGAGTAAACCCTTGCTGACATGAAAGTTGCGTAACAGAATCTTGGTAGGGTTTTCTTCAGAGCTGTTCTTTGCAGTAGATGTTCCCCCTATGCTAAGTACCAAGACACTGTAGGAGAAGCACGCAACTTATTTGAGTCCCTTTTGGTTCAAGGGGTTGTAAGGTTAGAGCCATGTAGAGACTGGGAGGGGGTTGTGTCCTGTCTTTTTTTTTTTCATTGTTTAGTGATCCTGCTTGTATCTTGGTGGTACTAGTGGGCATGTCAAGTTAAGCTGGAAGATGTTGTGGTCACTATGCAAAGTATGAAGTGGCCCGCGTATCAAAAGTATTGAACTGTCAGTCACCAGTGAGCGGGGCACAGCATCCTAAAACATGCAGGTAAAGTGTTTGCCAAAGTTGTGAACAGCCTCTTCTGCTTTGGTTTTGGCAGGAGAACAGTCGAATGAGTTTGCTGGATCTCCCTCAACACTTCTTATGTAGCTTGTATGAGAGAAGCAAAAAGCTGCCTTAGAAACATCTTGAATACTGAAAACACTCCTAATTTTCTAATTAGCTCATGAACCTGGTCTCTTAAGTTGTCGTATTTGATCTGGTAGTTAAAAAGAAGAAGAAAAAAAGCATCTTTGTTTACTCCTTGACTATTTTCTGTTCATCAGGGTAAAATAGTGTGTTTTATTTTATGCAGAAGTAATTTCCCAGTGCGGGAGGAATGGATATTTTAAGGCTATTCTGTGGTTTTTCTTAACGACCATTGGAGTGCAGATGTGTTCTGGTGCCTGACCAAAAGGTGTTGTCGGGAGGACACCTAGCGGGCAATCGCTGAGGTGTACGGAGAGTCACTAAAAGCTTGTGACAACCTGCAACTACTCGGGAGGGGGAAACACACGGTGGGCATGGGCGTATTGTATAGAAACGTCTTTCCTCCTGAAAGCAAGACCTGCGTGTAAAGTCTTCAGGAAAGCCCGAGACTTCCAAAAGGGCTCTTCCCTTTTGAAGAGAAATGGGTGATGCTCTGGATTCTCTGTCAACTGTAAATGCATCACAGCTACAGATCAATTCTGTCAAAAGCCACCAAGAGTGTTTTCAATCTTGAATTGCTGAAATCAGTTTAATCATTTGGTCATTTTACAGTAACCAAAACTTACAATCTTCAGATAATACTTACAGAATGGTCAGGATTTTCTCTCTGCAGTTTTCTCTCTGTTTGCTGGCCTTGTTTCTCACAATTTTTTATTCAGCTTTGAACGTGAACACTGTCTCTGTGAATAGTTGCTATAAAGTTTAAAAAACAAAAAAACCCAAACAACAAACCCCAAACTAAAACCTATGAAGTGAGAAGGAAGATACAGGGGAAGGAAAGTGGCCAGTTGTTTTCTTGAGGCTTAATTTCAATTAAAGAGGAAAACCAAGCAAAACCAACACAACACACCTGTTTGAGCAGGCCTTATTTAAAGAGCGGAGACTAGTAGGCAGTGTATTTCCCCTTGTACCATAGTTCTAGTTTGAACACCCTGTTTCACTGCCTTGCTGCCTGCCGATTGCTCTTGCAACTTTCTGCTTGCTGTTCAGTGACTTGCAGAGGAAGACCGGAGCTGGCACTGCCAACAGTTACATATGACTGGAAAAAGAAATGTGCATTTTGAATTTAATATAACTTGTTTCACTTTGATTTTTTTTTTTCATAATAAAATCGTCATCACTGTGTCTCTCTTTATTTCATAGTTTTGCCAATTTGAGAATTCACCCTCATGGATTAGTGTTGGTGGATCTGCAGAGCTACAATGATAATACAAAAGGAAGAGAGGAAGTTGATCAGGTATAAGTGGTGCTTATCTTACTAGGTTTATCAAACTGCATGGGGAGCCCCTTTTCTTCAGGTCTATCAAAGTATATCTTGGGAAAAGATTTTTAAATACCAAAGTTAGTTCAAACCTGAATGCTTACAGATGAGTAGTAACACCTATTATAGTTGCATACAGATATGAGTACACACGCGCGCGCTCTTTTGCGTGTCCTGGGCCTCATTTTCTTTGCTGTAAAAATTGTAAAGAGATAGCAGCCTTGGTTAGGGCTTCAGGTACCCAGGGCAGTGAGGGAGAAGTGATGCTTGACCTGCAACCTTGTGTGTTAGTGTATGACTCTTCCTTCTCTCATCTGAGAGATGGGGAGCCTCTGTACTCAAACTTCTTCCCCATGGAGAAAAATATATAGTTTCATCTTCCCTTATATGAAGGCTCCAGAAATTGGATACTGCAGGGGAATAGGCCACTGCTTTGGCAGGAATGAAACCTTACAGGATTCTTGTGTTCCCACTTTGGCTGTGCTTGAAAGGTCTGCCTATGTTATCCTGGAGGACAGCTAAACACAGTAACAGCTGCTACAATATGCACATTCTTGCTAGTAACAAGGCTAAGCCAGCCAGCTAGTTATTCATAAGCTTCTAATGTTACATTTCAAAGCCTTTTAGTGCGGGTGCTATTTCTTATAGCCTTCCAAGTAGCCTAACTTAACAGATATTTAGCATTAAGTGGTCACCTATAAATTCTACCTCTTGCTATTTTTTCAGCTCCTAAACAAAGTAGAAGAAAGAATGAAAGAATTGTTTCACGGTAATATAAAAAGGGTGAAACGGTAAGTTCATACATCTACTTCTGTATATGGCTTTTCTGCAAGATAATAAGCTCTAGATAAGTGAATTATTAGTTGCTCTAATAATAATCACATTATGCTTTGCTGTACTGTGTATAGCCTAGAGTATGAATTTATGCATGTGGGTTTCCCCTCCAATAATTTAAAAATTATTGGATAGATACTGTGAGGTTTGTCATTTTGTTAAGCTTTATCTTAACTATTGTTTACTTTGGGCAAGGATTCTTTCTTTAGTTTCCTGCAATGGTTGCCTCAAATAGTGAGAACCAGGAAGCAAGAGCAGACTGCTCTGGAAGGGCTGGGGAGCCAAGAGTGGCAGGGGGCTAGGCCAGGGGCATGACCTGTACCCTCTGGGCCACATCCCACAGCTCATGAACTAGGTGAACAGGGCTGCTGATGGTGACCAGGGTCATGGCCAGCCCGGGCTGTGTGGTACTGAGGCAGCTCTGAGACCAACCTGAGCATCAAAGATCAGCAAAAGACTTGGGCAGGCGTGAGCACAGCAGCAGTGTAGCTTGGGCAGGGACCAGGGTGAGGGCTGGAGCTAAAATGAAGCTCAAGCTCATGGAGGCCCCCCCCCAACAAGGTTTCCTGCAGCTCTTTCTCTCACAGCTTTGGCTCTGATGCACCTTGTGGTGCTGGCCTTGAGCATGGGTGGCAAAAATCCTGGGGGAACCTGTGTGCTTAGAGCCCTGCCAAGACTATAGAAATGTTTTATAGCAAATGTTTTTAATATAACTGATAACTGAAGGAGGGAGGCTTTGCAAGCCTTCTGTCATTTTGGTTTACTTAAATACAAGGTTATATATTCAACTGTAGGGATGCTAATTGTGGTTCATTCCCTGCTGCTGAAACAGCATTCATGCTGGAGTTTCCCAGGGGTCTGGAACGACACAGCTCATGTTGGTGTCTTCTTGGCGGCTGTCTGCAGTGACTGGCACCTTGAAGCTAGGGAGCACTTACTGCAGGCAATGCACTTGCTGGGAGGTGCAGTAGGTGCTTTGAAGAGCATAGTCAGAAGTGGAAATGATTTAAGAAAAGTAAAAAGCAGTGTAAAATCTGCAAGATTCAGTAAAGCTAAGGAGCAAACTACAAAATGGCAAACAGCTGAACAGTGCTATAGCGGAAAGTAATTTGAAGACTATATGAGCCCACAAGTACAGTGGTGGTGATTTGAAAAATGATGTTATACCTTGAGTATTGTTTTTTGTATTTAACGGTTGTATGAAAAACATAGAGGTAGTTGTCTTGCTTTACTTCGTCCTGGTAAAGACTTACCTGATGCACATAATCTTGTGTATATGAGGGAGAAGCTCTCTCTCTGAGGATAATTTAATATTGAGATATGATATTGGGAGTTTGTGGAATCCCTATGATAGGAACTTGTTAAAAATGTGTCGGGAAGAAGTCTGCCTGAAGCAATCTAGATTAATTTGGTTACCTTAGTATAGGAAGATGAACCTTTTAGAATAGTGGACCTGGCATAGATCTTGTCACAAACCCCTCAGCTTTTGCTTTTTTTTTTTTAAATTTGCTTTGCATCCTTCTGGTGTTAGTTTCACACATGCATCTCCACTAGAATTGATGCTGCTGGAAAAGTTGTTCTGTCTTTTCGTTGTCTTGACATAATGAATAGATGCTCTTGCTCTCACCATGTGCTGCCATCTTGCGTCTCACTGATGGTAGAAAATATTTCTGAAATGTTTACTGAGACTCACTAGTGAACATAGAAGAAGCTTGTCTATGGTCTTCTGCTATATTCTCCTAGAAAAAAAACTCCTTAAGTCTTTGAAGTGTGCGTGGGAAATTGATGGAAATCTGTGCCTGCGCATTTTGCTTAAAATGGAATGCAATAATTTTAATAATTCACTGCCATTTCAAATATAGTTTGTCTTTACGAAAGACAGAAATCAGAAATACTGCTTTGAACCAAGATACTTCTATATGGAATTAAAAAACTGAAACAAACGCAACAACAAAACCAAAACTAATCTATGCAGATGCTTGAACCCCTTTTAAAAAGTAATGCAAACTGTCAGCTGATATTAAGGATTGTGCTTATATGCTGCAGGGTGACCTGGCTTAGTTTGAAACACTGTAAAATTTCACTTTTCATGTTTGTGCATATATTTAAAATATGTCCCAGTACAATTTTAGAAGAATGAGATCCACTGCTCTCAAAGAAATGGCATTCTTAGCTGAGCTGAACGTGGGAAGAGGTTTTGTCATTGTTTTTTGTCTGTATTCTGCTTTTGTATTGTATCCATTTCTAGTCACGAAGCCAACTTTTCGGCAGAGGCTGATATGTTATCTAAATCCCCTGTCCTAGGGCAGAGATAGATTCATGTGCACATTGTTGAAGTCCAAAAAGAAGAACCATTTGTATTTCATCTGTGCCTTAGCAAGTTATGTATGCTTAATACATAAGCTGATAGGTTTCTTAAATCATTAAGTGTTAAATCTTCTAAGTTTTCTTAGATCTCCCTTGTAAACATTGTTTGTTTATTATGGTGAATCCACAGGATGTTTAGAGGGATTTTTTTTAAACATTCTCAAATGTTTTGTAATGTTTTTGTATTATTTTTCTCTAGATTGCCAGCCATTTTGAGAGGAGGTGTCATTGATAGATACTGGCCCACAGCTGATGGACGCCTGGTGGAGTACGACATAGATGAAGTTGTTTATGATGAAGATTCACCTTTTCAGAATATTAAAATTCTGCATTCAAAACAGTTTGGGAATATTCTTATCCTCAGTGGGGATGTTAGTAAGTATCATCTCATTTGAGGATCTTTTGTGTGAAATTGTAGGAAGCGCTGTTTACTATCTTGCTATGGCACAGTTTCAATGGATTACTAAGGGTCATGGTTCTGATGCAGGAAGCTACATACATGCGTGTACACTGTTCCTGTATATAAAGTATTTTAATCAGAAGGGCTGACCAGTCTAAAATCTAGAGTACAAAAAAAGATTTTTTCCAAAGTTGTCATCTTTACAGTGGAAGGTGGCACAGGAGAATAGAAGTCAGTGTTCTCTAGCAGAGCTTACTCTACTCTTTCTTTCATATGAATTTTTTACCTGTTTGTTGCAAGTCAAACCTTTTGAGGGCTTCTCTTTGACAGTAAAACAAACTGCTTTGGTGTGCTGGTTTTGGCTGGGATAGAGTTAACTTTCTTCATAGTAGTGTGGGGCTCTGTTTTCCATTTGTGCTGAATGCAGTGTTGGTAACACAGGGATGTTTTCATTACTGCTGAACAGTGCTTACATAGAACCAAGGCCTTTGCTGCTTCTCACACCACCCCACCAGCGAGTAGGCTGGGGATGCCCGAGGAGTTTGGGAGGAAACACAGCTGGGAGAACTGACCCCAACTGACCAAAGGGATATTCCATACCATATGACATCATGCTCAGTATATAATTGGGGAAGCTAGCCAGCAGGTGGGATTGCTGCTTGGAAACAGGCTGGGCATTGGGTTTGTTTGTTTTGGTGTTTTGTTTTTTTTTCCTTTCTCTGCAGGTGGTGAGTGATTACATTTGCGTATCACTTGCTTATATATAAAAGCAACTATTTTCTTCCTTTGTTATCCTATTGAACTACCTTTATCTCAACCCATGAGGCTTTTTTCCATTCTTCTCCCCATCCTGCAGGGAGGGATGGGGGGGGGAGGAGTGAGTGGGCAGCTGTGTGGTGCTTAGTGACCAGCTGGGGTTTCACTATGACAGTTGGTCTTCAAAATGCAGTGGAATTCTAAAGAAATATGAAGTAGTAGGAGCCTGTGTGTGTGTGGATAATCCTGCTCCTCCCTTGTATCTCACTAAGCGGGTAATTCCCTTAAGGATTCAGGACAGCTGTATCTTAACTCATTTAGCTGCTTTTTTTGGTGAATGTCTTTTGACTGTCATCTTCAAAATGCTCAGTTGAATTCTAATCAGAAGAGTGACCCAGCCTTTATGGGAGGGTCTTTACATACGCTGTGCCTGCTGATCTCTTATTTTTTGAAAGTGAAGATGGGCTACTGTTCTTTTAAGCTGGGTAAGAATACTGTTTGCTAGAAAATCTAGGCATTGAGGAGTATGCCTCATAAAATCTCTTGGTACTTACATTGTAAAGTACTGACTCAGGTAAGTGAGGGATGTTGCTGTCTAGGGATAGATTACCTAATTTCAGTCTAATGGCAGAGTAATTAATATATTTGACTGTAGCTTTTTGAAATCACCAGAAATACTTCTAAACATTCAGTTGGCTTTCTGCAACTGTCAGGGGGGACTTCTGTGCAGATGACAGCTGAAAAGTGTTATTACTGAATTCATTAGCAAGGTATTTTCTAATTCAGTTAGATTTGTATTTGAAATCACCAAATTAGGTATTCCATACTTCTGGCCAGAAGTTTTCATTAGAGTTTCATATGGAGATGAGGTTTTTTTGAACGTTGTTACAATTTGCCTTATAGGAATTGAAGTATGCTGCTACTTATTTACCTTCTGTGGGACTTATTTTAGGAGTATTTTAGTTGTACACTTAGTTTAAGTGCTGATTGCCAAGCAGAATTATAAGATATACCATGATGTGCTGCTGCACAAAGCTTTGCCCTTGTAGCTCAGATCTGTTATTACTGCTTAGGAATGTTATTGCCTGCTTTGAAGCTTATGGTGAACAAGTCAGCAGAAGGCATGCTATGGGGCCCTTCAGCAGTTAGGTGTTAGTGGTTGTACTTAGGCTTCTGTGCAGGGATCCACTGGGGTGTGTCTAGGTTGCTCTTTTTAGTTGGAGTCCAGATTGCGCTTTCAAAAATCTCCTGATTTGTCTCTTGTAGTACTAATCTGAAGTGAAGACCTGCTGAAGTATCAATTGTGGACATCAAGTCCTAAGTACTGACTGTTTTCCTCTAAACTTTGCTTCTCTTGCTTCCTAATGCCGAGGTAGCCATTGCTGGGTTTGCGTTGAGAACTAGAGAAATCCTGTGTGGGATTCTGAGGGGAATCTCACTAGCTTTGGTAAATCACCAGCCTCCTGTTACCTGGACTGTCTGAGAGCTAGGTTGTTTCTGTAGGTGCTCTTGCTGTAATCTGTATTATATATCACCTTTGGATTAATACCAAATTAATACCAATTAATGAGAAGAACTAAGATATAATGTTTCTGTCCAACTATTTCTCTTCCTTCCATTCAGATCTGGCAGAGAGTGACCTGGCATATACTCAAGCCATAATGGGCAGTGGGAAGGAAGACTACACTGGGAAAGAAGTGCTAATCCTAGGAGGTGGTGATGGAGGTATACTATATGAGATAGTCAAACTGAAGCCAAAGATGGTTACTATGGTAGAGATATCCTTTGACAAATAAATTTCAACAGTTTTTAGCCTGCATTTTTCTGCTGATATCTTAGTACTGAGCACAATTAACTATCAGGTTCTGGTTTGCATGAGGAAATAAGATCTAAAATGAAATTTCTTTTTGCTGGCTTAGAGAGACCCAGTGACTACATATTTGTACATCGCTATGTATCACATGCTTTCAAGTTTGTAATCCATAGTATAACTCTTGAGTAGCAATTTAGATAGAATTGGAAAGGAATGCTTCTGTCATCAGCCTGATAATCTCTAATAACAGAAGACTGGTCTGTCAAGTCTGCATTTTGGGCTGCGTTCTGCCTTCTTGTGTTTTTCTTGCTTTCTAAAGAAAGCTATAAAAAAAACCACCCTAGAAGCAAAAAAGTTTAATCAATAGGAATGTCAGGACCAGCAGGTCAAGGGAGGTGATCCTGCCCCTCTACTCTGCTCTCCTGAGACCCCAACTGGAGTACTGCATCCAGCTCTGGGGGCCCCAGTACAAGAGAGACATGGAGCTGTTGGAGCGAGTCCAGAGGAGGGCCACAAAGCTGATCAGAGGGCTGGAGCACCTCTCCTGTGAGGACAGGCTGAGAGAGTTGGGGTTGTTCAGCCTGGAGAAAAGAAGGCTCCGGGGAGATCTAATTGCGGCCTTCTAGTACCTGAAGAGGGCCAACAGCAAAGCTGGTGAGGGACTGTTGATCAGGGAGTGTAGTGACAGGACAAGGGGTAAGGGGTTCAAGCTGAAGGAGGGTCAATTTAGATGAGGTGTTAGAAAGAAATTCTTTACTGTGAGAGTGGTGAGGCACTGGAACAGGTTGCCCAGAGAGGTTGTGGAGGCCCCATCGCTGGAAGTGTTCAAGGCCAGGTTGGATGAGGCTTTGGGCAATGTGGTCTAGTGGAGGGTGTCCCTGCCCGCAGCAGGGGGGTTGGAACTAGATGATCTTTGAGGTCCCTTCTAACCCAAACCATTCTATGATTCTATGACTTGGTGAATTATGCTGGTGGCAGAGTAACCAGCTCTTGCCCTGTTTTAAAAATACTGATACAAATCAAGTTTTCAACATTCTGTAGTTCAAAGAGTTTGTAATGTAAACCACTGTTAACCATCTAAAATGTTGATCATCCTAGGTTTTGGAGTCTCCTTCCTTGAAACTAAAATTAATTGTTTTAAAAAAATGTAGGTTAAAGTCTTAACCTAGTTTACTTTTATGAGGTTTTTAAATATGCCATCTTATTGTTCACATCTCAAGCTTTCACAGTAACCGAAGGTACCAAAATACTGGTTAAAAGCAAAAATAAGCACTTCCTAAACTTCTAACTGAATCTGGAGGCAAATACATAAGGTTAGCTATTGCAATATATATACCAAGATACACATCTTACTATTCCTTTGTGAATATCACCTTTTTGAGAATTTCTTTGTGAAGAAATAGAAACTGTTACTTGTATTATTTCTGGAATGTAGAATGCCTTAACCAGCTTCAAACATTGACCAAATGGTGATCGACGGGTGTAAAAAATACATGCGTAAAACATGTGGAGATGTCTTAGACAATCTGAAAGGAGAGTGCTATCAGGTAATTTTTTGTTTTTCTTTTATTAGAAGTCATATTTCAAATATAGTTATACTAGCCTGGAAGACCGCTATTGCGAAGTTTTGGGGAAAAATCTTCTGTTTTTTCTTAATTTTGGGAACAATTTTTTCCTTTTTTATGACACTTCTAAATTTTAATACTTGGCAGTGAGATTTGTGTTGGAAGTATACATTAGCATCAAAATGTTTTTAATTCTCCGTCTTCAAACTCTTTTAAAAATAATTATTAACTTTTAAGGAATGTGAAGTTAGGAGAATGTTTATTGCCATAGCTTACAACTAAAGAGGAAATAGCAGTAAGGATGCTGTGTTAAACATCACTCCTTAAATTGATGAAAAGATAAAATAAATGTGTATTTAAGTTGTACTGTTGAGAATATCTGAATTTGTAATACACGTTTTAAAATTATTTTTAATTTGTAGGCAAAAATCTCTTACCATTACACTGCTAGTGTGTTAAAAATAAAATAAATAAAAAATAAAAAATTCATGCATCCATGCAGTTAAGGTCTTTGTGCTGCATCTGACAGCTTGCAAACAAGCCCAGGTGTAATCTGACATCTTCACTGGAAATCTTTTCTTTCTGTTTTCATTACTGCTCCTTAAGGCTCTCATAGATACTAATTTACAGGTATGAGCTAAAAAAAGCATGCAGGAAATGAACAGAGAAGGCATATGCTACTTTGCATGAGTCAGTGGCCCTTCATACAAATACTTTTGTTTACCCGTATGTTGGGGGACTGCTAACTGTTGTTACCATTTCTTAGGTAGAACAGTGGTCATTCAGCAATCAGTGACAGAGCTAGGAAATTCAGTCCTGTAGTTGTCAGTCATAATTCCTATAATTGTTCTCTCTTTCCACATGATGTAAAAAGTTGAAAATGAGGCCTAAAATTTAATGCATATTTAATTTTGTACTTTTCCCCCTCTTAATTCCTGTGAATCCACATTTGTTCCTCTTATTGGGTCAGTTTTGGGGTGTTTTGAGGACTGGCTACAGTATTTCATTCTTATAGGTTCTAATTGAAGACTGTATTCCCGTACTGAAGAGGTATGCCAAAGAAGGAAGGATGTTTGATTATGTAATTAATGATCTGACGGCTGTTCCAATCTCCACATCTCCAGAAGAAGGTTAATCTTCTAATTTATTTTCCTAAATTTCTGAAGATTTTCCATGTTTCTGCCCCTCCACTGTATAATAGTTGGCAGTTTGCAACAAAAATATTTTGATTCTTGCCTTTTTAATAGCAAATCTGAGAGGCAAAGAATTACAGTAACACATCTGTTCTTTTAGACTTTTTCTTGAATGTTAGAAAAAAATTAGCAAGTGCCTAGGACTGTGCCTACACTGTGCTCTCATTCCAGAATAATATGAACTCATGTAATTCTTGAGAAAGTATTTGGGGAGTTCACACTCCAGTAAATTTTTCCCCACTCTATAATTTCTTGGAAGCATCTGAAAAATTACTGTGAAGAAAAAAAGGTACTTCCATCATTGCCATTGTGTAGGAGTTGTGTGGGGTTTTACTGTTTTTTTTGTTGGTTTGTTTTTTGGTTGGATTTTTTTTTAAGGTATAGGATAGCTACTTTTTAAACAGTAGATATATTGCAAGTCTTGAATATATAATAGTGAACAAGCCAATAATGTGCTGTTCTGTTTTTAAATCATATTCTATATGCAGATTCCACATGGGAATTTCTGCGGTTGATTCTTGACCTCTCAATGAAAGTCCTGAAACAAGATGGAAAATACTTCACACAGGTATGACATCTAGATGTAAAAAAAGTATTGCTGCATATGTATTGCATTCTTCATTTTTCAAGTAAAACAACAAAAAAGGACAAAACCAAACCAACTACCTAAAAATCTACTAGCAAAGCTGGTTTTCTCCTTTTAATGACTCATTAGGGATTTTTGCATGCAATTTGGGCTTTGCTAGCTGACTTTTTTCTCCTTTTAATGACTCATTAGGGATTTTTGCATACAATTTGGGCTTTGCTAACTGACTTTTTTTCCATTATTTCAGCTGAATTTGTAGCACTTGTATCTTTGAATTTAAAAACATAATTTCAAGAATCGGCTAGATGTACTACAGAATATCTTAGCAGAAAGCAATTCTTGGAAAAGCAGAACAGATGTACTTTATAAACAGATACATGGTTTTTAAGCTAATGTCTCCATCTTTAGAGTGTAATACATGAAAATTTGTCATCAATAAAGGTGTAGGAATTTGAGATAGGTGCAATGGGAAGAGAAAATCAGTCATTTGGGATACTCTTTCTGCTTGCTGTCCACTGGTTTGGCTTCTGCAAAGCAGATTTTGAACATTTGAATATGTTCGCTACTTCATAAAATGCCAAGCATTGCATTTTTATATTATAAGACTTCATGTATGAAGTTTTTAATGCAAGTTTAAAAATAAACAATTTCAGATTTCTATACTTGCTACAGCATAGCCACCTCATCGCTAATATAGTTGTGGTATAGCTTTCATCTGAAGCTACTTTCTGTATGTAATCCTGAATTCGGAATGCCACAAAGCTGCATGTAACTGTACAAAAAAATGTGACAAGACCCAGCAGATGGTTGAGTGAAGTCTAAGTCTCTGAAGTTGTATTTCTTTTGTCATGCCCATACCTTAACTAGTTGTCTGATGAGTGGAGCATCCAAGTATAGCATTTTGAAATAATCTTGTTAAGATCTGAAATAACCTATCTTGCATTTGAACTGTATTCCCATCAGTGTAGAGTTTGAGGTGTGTGAAGAAACTGGTTTACTGTAACATTGGACAGGTTTATAGGGAGCAAAACTCATAGAATGAAGTTTTTGGCAACTTTAATGTGCTGCTTTATTTTAAAATGCTGAGGTTGTACAAGATATATTATCTTGTGCTTGAAATGTAAGATATGACTAATAAGGTTGTATCACACTGTAAATCTTAATGGCTTTTCTATTCTGTTAATAGTGGACATATTTGACAGAACTTGATATTGAAAGGACACTGCATCTTTTGGACAGAGCAGGCATTTGTGTTGCAATTGTCATACTTGTAACACACACAGTGAGACTACCTGACTTTATTAGAGTGTATGTAAGTGTATGTTTGTGGACAGGTATCTGTCAAGACTTTGCAGGAGGGCTCTGGGAAGAAGCTTGTGCTGAAAGCTGGAGTGATGGCTGTGCTGCAGCCAAGGTACAGGGGGATTGGTTTGTGTCAGCTGAAACCAATGGGATTGAGACTGGTGCGCTCCTGCTGCCTGTCCTGTCCTGATGGGAGGAGATGGCTCAGCTCACCAACATCTCTGCTTGCACAGGAAGGAAGGACGGCAGTACTGAACTGACCCTGGCAGCTTTAAGCCATTGTGAAACTGTGTACTATGGGATTCGCAGTCCCAAATTAACAAGGTGGGACATGGCAGGATGGGAAAGAAACTATTAAAATTGAAGTGGCTTGAATTTGGACTTGTGGCTAACTGGTAGCCAGTGAAAGGGCTGGAATGTAGAAGCAATGTACTCTGGCAACTCAGTCTTCCTGAGAGTGCTGAAAAAAGGAAAATTAATACTGGGGCAAACAGCTACCAGAGCTTTTGATGTATCTACTGATACACTACCCAGCCCATTTGATGGTCCTTGTGGCCTCTTCCTAGCTGGGCCTGATTTAAAACCAAAACCAAACACAAAAAACTTTGGGAAAACTCAGTGGTTTGATCATAGGAAGAACAGACTTTTAGGGGTGCTTTAAATTAAATGAGCTGTCTATAACTTTCTTTAAATTAGGTTTTGAATTAAACTAATTAAAGCTGAATATCCAAAGGATTGTGTTAGGCTATGGACAAAAGGTCAAACATGACTACTACCAACTCTCGTAGCTAAGCTTAGTCACACACTGGGAACGCATAAATGGTTTTGAATGTTCTGATATGTTAGCTATTAAATGCCAGGGCTTTTTAGCTCTGTGTATTAACATTGGAAACTTAAGTTAGTTTTTTCCAACTCTCTACTTCCCAGGATGCTTGTCTTAGGTAGCAGGCTGTACTTTACTTGCTGAGGCAATCATACGCCTTTTAAAGCAGTTATGTTTTTAAAATCCAGGACTTTGTGTGCCCCCGACACACACACACACACACACAGGCTTTCTTGAAGTGCATTTTGGTTCTCTAAAACATAAAATGTGGTAAATATCATCAAGGAAAGTGACTGGGGGGATGTTCACCTATTAGAGCCTGACCTTTGCTATGATGAGGAAATGTCTCATAGGAACAATGCTGCAAAAGGTTGCTGTCCTGTTGGCTACTGGCCAGTAGCTGTAGTTGCTGCTTTTGCCTTGACATTAGAATCA